CCGCCTCCCGTCAGCTCTGAGACCTCAGCTCTGCCGTCCGTCCCTCTTGGGGAAGCCCGCCCTGACATGCAGCCCTCGTCCCAGGCCCACCCCCACCGCCACCAGCTGCAGGCCCAGGTCCAGCCCGCGGCCCGGCACCTGCCTTCCTGAGCGAGCAAGTCAGCAAGTCGGTAGCGACCACGTGTCCGGCTCACGAAGGCCTCCGGTTGGCAGCCGGCCTGGGCCCAGGACCTCACCTCTCAGCTCTGGCACCGGCTACTGGGGCTGCTGACCGACTGCCCAGCCCAGCCCTCCCTCGCCGGGCGTCCCAACTGCAAGGCACCTGCAGGCGCTGGGCTCGGAGGTGCCATCTTACCTCCACGATGGTGTCAGCCAGCCCCGGGTTACACAGGAGCAGCCAGCGCCGGGGCGTGATGCCGTTCGTCTTGTTCTGGAACTTCTCTGGCTCCAGCTCATAGAAATCCTTAAAGCTAAGAACACAGAAAACAGGTAACTGCCACAAAGGCTGATTTGAGCAAGAGGCGCAGATCCTTCGAAGGGGCCCAGCCCGCCCGCCCGGCCTCCCGGCAGCCAGGGCAGGCGGCACCTCTGCACGCCGGGAAGCCTGTGGGCAGGCGGCACTGCCTTTCACCCACGTCCGCGCTGGATGGGCTGGAGCCTGGCCACCTCCCGTGGTCACGGCAGTGGGCAGTGGGCAGGCCTTAGAGCCTGAGAGCCCAGGGCTCAGCATCCTTGCCTGTAAGATGAGGACCACCCCCCGCAGAGAAGTCTGCAGTGGGGACGAAACGGCCCCAGGCGAGGCCCCAGGGCAGCACCGGGACCACGGGGTGGCCTCCGCACACACACCTGTAGAGGCGGCCAGGCGCTCACGGGAGGTGCGCCGAGATCCCCTCCCGCCAAGGTGGGTGGAGGCACAGAATCTGAGCTACAAACTCCTCCTTCCTCTCGGACGAGCCCCAGCCTGTCACACCTGACCTGCCCCGTCCCGGCCGGGACACTAGTCCCCAGGCAGGAGCCTCCGCCTGGACAGACGGAGAATGCAGACAGAGGACCGCCTGGTGACAAGAGGGCTTGGCTCCCTGACGCTGGCCTCGGCCACTGCACTGAGGATGGCCGGCCTGGGATCAGAGGCAGCGGGAAGTGCGGGCCACTCACACCGACTGCTTCACAATCTCCGAGTGGATCCTGGCCACACCGTTGACAGCGTGGGACCCGATGACACACAGGTGGGCCATGTTGATGCGCTTGCAGTCCCCCTCCTCGATCACGGACATCCTCCGCAGGCGGTCCACGTCCCCGGGGAACAGGGCGGCCACACGCTGCCGGGACACAGCCAAGAGCAGGGTGGCTGCAGCCCAGACCCCGGGCAGACCCCAGCACACGTCCACCCCGAGGGCAGCAGGGGTCCAGACTGCAGACCTGGCGGGGCTGCCCTGTGGGAGGAGACAGGAGGCCCGGATGCCCAGGACATGCCGAGCGATGTCCAGGAACAGAGGGTGTGGTCCCCGCTGGCCCGGCAGGGCGCAGCCACATCCTGACCAGTGGGAACTGCCACTGTGTCATCCAGAAGGTTAGAAAAATGGACTGTGAGCACGCCTGAGTGCTAAGTTCCCCTGGTCCTGGACCACCGTCCTCTCTGGAAGTAACGGAAAAGGCAAACGGTGCTTCGTTCCAGATCACCCAGATGCTGCTGTGACGTCTCAGGACAAACGCCTCTGGCATTCCAGGAGCTCAGACACTTACATCTGAACCCAGCCCGGAGATGGGAACGTTTTAGAAAGACCTCAACCCACGACTCCCACACACACGGCAGGGGCCAAGACGAGTGTACTCCGGCCAGCAGCTCTGCCAAGGGACGCCCCCAGCCCAAAGGCCTCTGCTGCAGAGGCTACTCAGGTCAGGAAGTAAAGCCCAGGGCGGGGGGGCCTGTCGGCGCCCCGGTCAGCTCAGGGGGGCCGGACCGGCACTCACGTCCAGGTGCTGCTGGTTGAGGGCGTAGATGATCTCCAGGTGCCGGGGCAGCAGCTTCTCAAACATGGGCACGGGCCAGCGCTCCAAGGCCTCGGGCAGCACCGTGTGGTTGGTGTAGGCGCAGGTCTTCCTCGTGACCTCCCAGGCCTAGAACATGCGGGACACCCAGTGCTTCCTTTGGGAGACAGCAGCTCTCTGCCAGGAGCCAGGGCAGAGGCCGGGGTCCAGACGCACGCTCTGCTCTCTGCGGCCTGGAGCCTCCCGAACCCACAGCGAGCCCGTCACTTTCCATATCGACCCACGTGCCCCTTACGTCCAGGCCCAGCGACGCGGCCTCCCCGCTACCGGGAGTCACTGCGAACCGGGCGCAGCGCTGGGCAGCTTTAACTCCCACCAAGCTGGCCCCACGCTCAGTGCTGAGGGCACTCGCCCTCCGCGGGCCGGGAGCGAGCAGGACCTGCCAGCCCGCCCGGAAGTGCTCCCCACACCAGAGACCAGAAAGGGCTCCGCGTGCAAAAAACACTGGGTGAAGCAGTTTCACGTGTTGATTTAATTCAACAAGCTCGAGAAAACCCAGAACCAAAGGAAACTGAGTTAGGGAAACACGCAAGCCTATAAAGTGCCTATGAACACGCAAGCCACGCATTCCGTCAAACCTAACCCTGCTGGCTGTTCTTGCCCCAGTTCCAAGATGAGAGAATGCAGGCAGAGGCTCTGGCCAGTGCCAGCATCCTCTTCCTGGCGTCCAGAAAGTCACTCTTCGGTAGCCTTTCACTTCTGCTCTCACTCAGTGTCCCGGTTCCTTGGGGGAAACCCCGCACCCGCTCCCACGACCCTGTCTCCCAGGGATAACGTCCCTCTGTGCTCCCAAGGCCCCCGCGTCCCAGGACGAGCTCAGTACCCACGAGTGCTGTCGGGACAGGCTTGAAGGGCAGCTCCCGGGGGGGCCGAGGGGGCGGGGACAGCACTCCCGGGACACTGCCCTGCACACTTGTCCCCAGTGCTCACCTTGTCCCAGTCCACTCTCTCCACATCCACCAGGATCCGCATGAGCTCGGGGATGGCAAGGGCTGGGTGCGTGTCGTTCAGCTGGATGGCCACCTGCATTCACAGCCCGTGGGGGGCCCACGGTTGGCATGTGTAGAAGTGGGGTCCTCAGCCGCCCGCCCCGGGGAG